GAGTGTGTAAGTAGCACTATTCTAGCTTTTTCATGGCTATGATATGGTGGCAAAACAGAAAGAATGGTGGTATCCACACACCTATTTTTATCTCTTACACACGGCTCTCAATTTCTAGCCATCAGATCAATGAATTGAAGAAAATAAAAAAACATAAATTAATAAAAAAAACACGTAAAAAATAAAAATAAATGTGTAAATAGCACAACCCAATTGAAATCTCAAAGGTTTGACAAAATCAACTGGTGGGGTTACGTTTGCTTTTCCTGGCACGTATTACCACCTAATCATATCCATGATTGTATCCACTAAACACATGTGATTATGACTAATCATGTTTTTGTAATGCTACCTCTATTTGTTTGACAAACTTTGTCTGATGTTAGTCGGTAACCAACTGGCAAGCCGGTCAAAGGAGAGATTCTTGAGTTTACCTGGTCGAATGTGACCGCTTATTAATTTCTACGAGAAAAATAAACACATAATTGTATATAATCAAGTATAAAACATATTTTCTTCTGCCAATAAATTTTGTTGCGGATTATGTTAATGATGTGACACTCTTATTTTTTTATATAATCTAAACAGTTATATAAGCTAGAGGGTTCTGCATTATATAACACATATTCAGACATTTTGGACACCCTGTGGATATTGAATCAGTCCATTTTGTCTTACCTTTTGGTCTATGGAGTCAGTCTACTTCTCCTCATGTTAATTAAGACGAATGCATATAGTGTTCAACATAATACTCAAAATAATTTATCTTGTGATCCAATTTATGTTCAGCTTTTTAGCCAAAATAGTATATGAGATTGTCATAACTCATCACTTTGGTCTTTGAAATTTAAAATCGATAGAAGTGGTCATTGAGATTATGTACCATCAATCATTTTGGTCATCTTTAAAAAAATCTATGTTAAATTAAAGAAACCACTACTTCAAGTGGAGGGGTTGATTTAACAAAAATACCCTCAATTTAACAGAGATTTTTCACGGAATGACCAAAATGATTGTTTGTGAAGAAAAGATTGTATCCGTTGTGAGTCGGTTTCACCAGTCTCTGAGAAATTTGGTGAGAAATTTTCAACCAAATAATTCGACCTAGATCAACTAAATCTTAATTTAGTGATACTTCTCTTCTTAGCTTTGAAAAAAATTCTAAGTCGACTGTCTTATCTCCTGTTGATAAGGAAAACGAAAAATAATGAATGCATACATATTATTATTACACGGTCTTTTTATTGCCACAAATCCCCTTTTCCCAAGAATTATTTTCATGTAACATACTCATATGAACAAGTGACAAGGACAATAACATCATAGGTTTACCCAAAAACAAACATTTTTTATACCAAATTCCTCCAACAAGTGAGCTGCAACTGCTGAAATGTTTCACTTTTCATGGATCGGAGGATAAAGATCTCCTCCTCCTCTTTGATCGACTTAATCATCGCCGAAACTCGACTCATACTTGGCTTATCATATGGAGTTGAATTTATGCACTGCAATGCTACCTGCAACAAGCTCACCATCCTTTCTTCACTTGCACCCTCTTGGATCAAAGCCTTGTCGAAAACTTCGACAGTCCACTCCTCTTTAACCACCGAGTGCACCCACCCTGGTAAATCCAACCCGTTTTGCTGCACCAGCTTCCCGGTCAGAAGCTCGAGAAGTATCACACCAAATTCATAGACATCACCCTTGAACGTGCTATCTGCATGGCCTGCATTCGGACTTTCAATCCCGTTGTTTGGCGAAAGGAGTGACCCGTCTTGATTTTCGACTTCCATTATGCCGTATTCGCTGATGCAGGGCTCCATGGACATGTTGAACAAAATGTTCATGGACTTTAGGTTGCCATGAGCAATGCCATGTTCATGTAGCTCTTGGTGCATGAATGCCAATGACTCAGCAATGATGTCTGCAACACTTAGTCTGCTTCCCCAGTCAAATATTTGTCCGTTTGAAGATCCTGTGATACCAAAAACCCATGAGCAATTCGATTAAAATTACTTTATTGATCGTAAACAAAATACTCGCGGTAAGAAAAGCCTTTTCACAAGCGCGTCAGAACGTATGGAGAGGCTAGTACGAATAACCAGTTATGTTTAGGAAATCTCACGTCCCCAAGCTTTATGATTTGAGATATATATAAGTAGCAAAAATTGATCAAATCGAGCGTAACCTACCATGAAGAAGGTTAAAGAGATTGCCATCAGGCTGATACTCATAAACCAAGAGCTTCTCCTGTCTGGAACAATAGAATGCAACAGCTGGCAAGACATTTCGACACTTAACCTGATCGATTTGTGTCATCCGAGTCTTGAATTTTTCGCTCGAAATCCCACAGTTCCTGATCCTCTTCACAACTAAGTTAACCCCTCCATCAAGCATGACTTTGTAGAGGCTTCCATTCTTCCCTCTGCCAAGCAATTCAGCAGGAGCTCGGAGCAACTCCTCAAAACTCAACCCCCTCAGCAATGGACTAGTGAGAACCACGAGCGGTGGAGCCATTCCGTTTTCAACAGATGATAACGAGTACTCGGACGTTTTTTGACCACTACCATCCTTCACACTAGAAGAAATAGTAGTGCTAGGCACAGTGCTAGCAGCATCATTCGCCGCAATCTTTTTATTTCTGCCCTTTTCTTCATCTTCTCTGATCTTCTTTTTGCTGACAAGTTTATAGAGAAAGAAGCAAACAACAACCAGGCCAAGAATTATATATCCTGATAAGAGCAAAAGCTTTTCGAACCAGGACTTTCTCGATTTCTTTGGCATTATGGAAGTTTGTGGTGCAGGAGGGCAGGCATTTTGCAGTGGCTTTCCACACAGCTGAGGATTACCAAAAAAACTATCATTTTGTAATAGGCCTTTGACATCGGGGATAGGGCCGCTGAAGTTGTTGTTGGAGACATTGAATTCCTTGAGGTTGAAGAAATCAAAATCAGGGATTTTCCCATCAAGCTGATTGTTCTGAGCAAGAAAAGTTATCAAGCCAGAAATCTTTGAGAAATCAGGAAGCTCACCGTTGAAGTTGTTGTTAGAGATGTCAACTCTTTTCAGATTATTCAACTGCGAAAGAGAGGCAGGAAGATCACCCGAAAACTGGTTCCCACTTATATACAAGTGAGTCAAATCTCTGCAGTTCTCAATCTCTTCTGTGAGCTGTCCAGTGATCTTGTTATTCTTCAGACTCACAACACCAACAGACTTCACCGTGCAGAGAGAGTTTGCATCAAGAACTCCTGCTAAATTTGAGGTTTCGAGGACTATTTTCTTGACAGAATTCTTTCCGTCACATGTCACACCTTCCCACTTATCTCTGCAGGGGTCTGAGCTCATGTTCCAACCCCAATTTCCGTTCGTGGGCACTGCATTGACCGGTGAGAGTTTGTCCATGAACTGCACCAACGCTTGTTTGATCTGAATCCACTCTTGATCTTCTGGATATGCCACTGGAAAGATTACGAGAAGGATCAAAATGGCAAACACCCGAATGGGAATTCGATCCATTTTTCGTGTTTTCTATGTACAAATTAGATTTTTTTTGGTGTGGGAAATGGCTCTGTGGCTTGGTACTTCTTCCTTATGAAGTGGGATTCAGTGATTGGAATTGGAGAAACAAGAAGAAAGGAACAAATGGAAATGTTGGAGTTGGTTGATGGAATCACTTGCTGCCGATTGGATGAACACTGACAGAGAGTTTGAAACATTCTCTGGGTGTATGTAGGGCTCATAACAAATGGCACTAAAGTCTCTAACAATTTTAAAAAGAAATATTTGCCGGCATTTTTAAATGGTCAAATTTTTCGATGGCATGTCTTTTTCAACAGTCTTCTAGAAAAGAACATGGTTATTCCTACTTACCTGCAAATCACAGTACATTTTGAACACATGCATACCCCTCTTATGAAAAACGCTCAATTAAAAGTTTATGCACGAATCAAACTGTTATTTGTCTGTGAACGACTTCTTAAATGTAAGGAGCCGAGTATTATCTTTTTGGGGATTAATGGTGGTTCGATGGTCCTAGTAATGCCATGTGTTAATCAAGTACTGTTTACTATAGTGACTTGTAGAGACCCTCCAAATCGGATTAGTTCCTTAATTTCCGAACTAGACAATGGTAAGTACCAAGTGCCAAGGGTGTAACTTTCAATTAGTTTTAATGTTGTTTTATAATTACTTAAAAATAGGTATAAGATTGTGATTGACTGGGTTAAGTTGAAGACAAGTCAACCATGGATGAGCATGGCAGATGGCACATAAAGGTATCATGCTCTCCCTTATTGTGTTGCACGTTGTACAAACACACAAGTAGAGTAATCATCGGGTCAAGTTGCAGACCTTCGTTTCTTTTTTATACACGCAATGTTTGAGCATGGATCCAAACACAGAACCTCAAGTTGAATCTGGATCTGAACACAAAATCTCAAGTGCAAATCCAAACACAAAAGCTCCAGTCTATAGAAAACGTTTTATACCACTTAACTTGTCCCCGAAGTAACTATGTATTGATCATAAGCCATCGTGACATTGGCATCATCACAGCATCTTTTTTTTGGAGGGGGGGGGGGAAGTGAACGCGTTTGTGCAAAGACAGAATGAAGAGAAAACACGAAACAGCGAGATAAATGATATGGGTTCTTTTAAATTAAAAAATAATAAAACCTCAAACCATGAACTGCCTAACCATCGCCTAGGCCGCCTAGTCCACCTAGCTCTTACCAGATCTTTCCCTACTTTTTGGCCTAAATTGCATTGAGCCTTCATCACCTAGCACCTAGGCCGATTTTAAGAACATAACGCTTGGTATGCTATTGTTTGTCTTGATTAAGAAAATTGACCAATTTGAAGGATGAAGGACCGTCTACCCAAACAATTCTATACACATCTCATAGAATTTGAAAGAACACATAAAATATTTGTGTCTTGGATCATTTCTACATGTTCATCATCCTATGTGACTCCGACTCTTCATAACATTAAAACAGTTCAGTAACCAACGACAGAAGTAGATTATTTGACACAATTCATAATTTTTACAAGAAAACGCAATCTTTTCGAATCTAGTCATACAAATATTGGTAGTAAACTTAATTCAAATCGTAAGCATGTAATGGGGGATTACAATGCTGCTGCTATAACTATAAGCAGGTTTTTAATCAAAGGTAAAGTTTCCCCCTACACCTGCAGTTCACTATGGGTCTGCATGTCCAGCAATGTCATCGTCGCTTGAATTGCTTTCCTCATCACTAATGTTCTCATCATCGCTCTCCTCGTCTGGTGTTGTATTGGTAATGTGCTCCTTCTTTGCATATCGCTCGCAGTACTCTGTGTCCACATATCACAATGGAAATTTGTAAACTGAATACTTTACATGATAAAAAATCCCGCGAAAGTAAAGAAGATTTTCTCGCTAGCTTATGCTCTGTGAGCAACCAAGGAAGAATAGCTTCTGTGCTCTAAGAATACTCCCTATATAACATCTTCGAAGCTGAAGGAACTAACTTACTATGAAAATTAAGTGGAATCTTGTATGCAAGTGTTAGCCGAAAGCATTGAATAAGGGGCCGGAGATAGACTAGTAATTCGAGTAGCCATGGTCCATGGACCACCTTGCTGTAGTCACACTCACAGCTATGAGACGGTATTGGAATTCCAACTCGAGACACAGTCAAGGGAACCAAGAAAAAGTAGGAAGAGTATGGAACTATCTAATTACAAGCAAGAGCTCTTGCACACATATGCTCATGTTTGGAAGGTCCATCTCCTAATTTACCTAAGTTATTTGTGAGAGTTTGCGGTGAAGTTTCAAAAATTTAGGCATTGTTAGTTTAAGCATATTTACTGAAAGAAAGGCATATTAATTGCAGATGAAGTTTTACCTTTGACCTTCTGATCGTAGAGTTTTCGGTCCTTCATCATCAATGACGCTGCATCACCGTTGAGTGGATCTGAAGGATTTGGATAAAGCAACAGTTGTGGAAGGAAAACTTCAAAAACATTTAAAAGGTCTGCATCAAGAAGAAACATGACCTTATATGTGAGAAATCCAAGAAAAACCAAATGAAGAAGGAAAAATAAAAGTGAAACAGAATAGAACCGCCAAACATCACTGACTCATAGAAGAGAGTATAATGACACAAAACTAATATTTCAGCAGTGTATTGAAAAAAAGAGAGTCAGAATAATTACTAAAACGGGACGATAATTACCAAACATTGGACTCCATGATTGGTTAATTACATCTAAGCAGACAGAACCAGATCTGCAATCACACAAGAAAAACAAAACAGCGAGTACAAACCAGATTAATAACCAATAAACAATTACTCAAAGTCCTGCTCCTTACTAAAAAAATAACTCATAGTTTTCAAAACCAGAGACTTATTCAAAGCATTTGATAATCAACAGCAGTATTACAGCATTCTAAATTTCTAAATAAATTCAGCCTTTGTTTGACCCATCTGCCAGCGTACCACTAGTAGCAGTTAGAATTTAAAAGTTCCTAGAGGTAACTAAACTGGATTATTCGTGAGGTGAATTTGATTTTAAAACTGAAGAACACTCACAGCTCATCAACATTAGGGTGGAAAATCTTGTTCATGAAGCCAATAGAAGGAGATTTATATGGATAAGCATCCGGAAGCTCAACACGGATTTTCCAAACCCCTCCTTCATAAAGGCCTGCAATCATATCATCACACTGTAAGAGCCTCAGCTGATAAAAGCCTAGTGGAAATAAAAGAAGCAAGATGCAGTTCCGATCTAAGAGCAAACTGTAATAAAGTTACAACAAGGCAAACAAAGATGAAAAACTTTCCAAAGTTGAGTGATTGCACAGGTTCTTAAACCAAATTCAGTTAAAATGTGCCACCATGCCCACACATAAACATGTAGAAAATTTTATGCAATGAAGTATAAGCAGGAGTGTCGGACATTACTTTCTTTCGGACCATGGAATTCCACATTGAATTCATTCAGCCCATCATTTATTGTCTCCACATTATAGTCACTCATCATCCTGAAAATCATTGAGAAAAGAATGGAAAACAAAAGCATTAGAAATAGTGTTCCAAAGCTTTATTTCATGCCAGAGATGAAGTTAGCAACCTGATTATACATACTTCTATCTAAACAACTGCATCCCACTCAGTAAACCAAAAGGAGAAATCCAATCTTATGAAACATAAGACCCACATTGCAAAGGTTGGAGGTATTAAGTAACAAACAACTTACAACTTCATGACATCCATCTCTCTCCGCTTGCTTGGTGAAGACATCTTAGCTTATTAAAATGAAAATCCCAAACCTGTCACAAACGTACCGAAGTGATCAACTTTTCAAGGAAACAAATTTCAAAGAAATTAAATATGTTAAAACCATATGGGTGAAACTAAAACAGTCTAATTCACAACAAACAAGGTACACTGACCTTCCGGAAATCAACAAGATTCGCAAAAATAAATGGTGAAGCAGAAGTAGAAGTAACACAAACTCAGATTTAATCGATGTCCAAAATCAAGGTAAACACATATCTGTGGATTGCATAAGCAAAATCAGTGATACAACCGAAATAAGTTATAAGTCTGCTTAAACAGGGGATCGTTCTTCACAAACCATGACCATCAAAGAAACGGACCTATGTTGCAGTATCAGCCATACCAGCCTATATGTGTAGTAGTGCGTTTTGTTAAAGACTTTTATACCCATTGGATGATGCAGCAGAAAGAAAGCCACCTGAACTAAAACTAACCCAGTTTCTCCGTTCATTAGTTCCACAGAATCAATCAACCGTACAAACAAAGTAGAAAAAAGAAAAAAAATGATTTATAGCTTAGATTTCCATAACTGGGTCACCGAACCATCTTCAATCTGACAGGTAAAGCTTTTTGTTACATGTACTAATACCAAATTAACTCATACGCCAATGACATCAGATTGCAGAATGTAAATGCGTTGACTATGCTTCGCCACCAAGTACAAACTACGGCCTCTCCTTAAAATGGACTTTGCCTCCCCTAAAGTTGGAGGATAACCATAACAAGCTACTGTCACAATGACTAGTTCAACTTGGAGAGTCAGTTCCCAAGTTTAACACGAATGTTTACAATTCATCACTCACCCTAACCAAAATGCCAAAAGCCGGGCTCCCCGCAATTCAATATACTACATTGCGAAGCTAACATATTTATCATCTGAAAGTTTGTTTATGCAAGCATACTTAACAATTGATAACAACAACAAACATGCCACACAATCGAAAAAGCAAAAAAAAATTGAAATATCACACTCATGGGAAATCTTAAGCTGCACAACAGGATTAAAAGTTATAATTGGATCATCACAATTTGATAAAAAAATGCAATGCAACTGTTATCTCCACAGCATAAAATAAAAACTTCGAGCAAAATGGCATTTCAAACTTAACCAATTATTAGACACACCCAGTTGAGGCATTATTGTAATTCAACTCCCCCTATCAAAAAATTCAATAAAAATTGGAATGTTGTCATGAAACCAATACTGAGATTTTGTGAAACAATGTCATGAGTGCTTCTGAAGTCTAACAATTAAAAGCAAGCTGCAATCTTTTGAAGATCTAAGACCTACCCAGAAAATCATATACAAAGAAAGAGAAAAAAATTTGTTCTTTGAGCATGTCGATGAAAAATAAAATTAACAATAGATATATGTGTGTGTGTGTATATATATATATAGAGAGAGAGAGAGAGAGAGAGGATGGGAACTGGATATCTTACAAGAGCTACTTATTTAACGGGGCGAACCTTTTCTTGTCTGACTGAAGATTCCCCAGAACCACACAGAAAATTGAGAAAATTTGGAATTGGAGAAGAAACAACGGGTCGGTGGAGGAGAGGAGGAGGAGGGTGAGAGGGGGAGAGAGAGAGAGAGAGTTGGGGAAGAGGGGTGTGAATGTCGACATGTTCAGGCGCACGTTCAAATAATAGCATTATTACGTGGCACGCACGGTCTCAAATTAAAATTAAAGTTAATTTTGTGACATTGATTCACAATTAAAATTAAAATTAAAATTTAATCTCGTTAGGGCGCATGAAATTCGATTCATAATTACCAAGTAAATCTTCCTCAATTATGGTAATTTTTTTATAGTTATTTATTTATTTTTTCTTGTTCATTGAACTATATATATTATTTTCATTGTATGTTTTTCCTTAAAAGTAAAAAACATTGGATAGAATTCCTTAGCGTAAGCACTACGCAAGTTTACTACTGGTTCTGGAAGAGCGAAGAAAAAGGGAATGTTCTGTTAATATGAAAGAGAAAGTGTTTAAAACTTTTTTTATAGTTTACTCAATGATAAATATTGTACAAAAAATTGATAAATATATGGACCGTTTTAACTTTTAATTCCAAAATTCTCTATGTTAACTATTGTTATCGTCTCTTTAGATTGAGGACTTCTTGGATTTTATTCAGAATGCTCTCATTGATGTTTGTATTAGCTTTTAATATTATAACAAAACTGCTATCATTTTATCTTTAAGAAACCATTTATTATATGTTTGTTTTATTATAATTAAATAACAGAATTTATCATAAAACATTTCAAAGTACATCAATAATGTGTACAAGACATGTATCTCAACATAATTGCAAAAACTATGAAGAAAAAAAACAGAACTGCAAAAACAATTGCAATAAAAGCAAAACTAATATAATTACACTGACAACATGAAAATGGAATATATTATAGTGTTCTTATTAGATTAGTATAATGAATATATTCACGATTCTTTTTTTATTTGTTGAAAATATTTTAATTTGTTAAAAATATTAGGATGTCCATATACATTCTTATCCAATAATAACTTAATAGTTAATTAATTCAATTCTTGATAATTTTAGTGAAATGAGTAAACAAAGTCCTTACTTGATTTGATTTGTGTTTGTACCATACTTGACCAATCCTGAAACTACTAAGCACCGATCAACTTTATATCTTCAATGATCCACTGAGGGGTTCATGTTGAGGCAACCCTACTGAAGCACAAGAGTTTTCCTCCAACCGGGAGGCCAATCACAGTACGACACATGTTAACGTCAGAATAAAGTTCATAGAGTCCCACATCGACTGCGGATAAAAGTTGGAGACTTTCCTCAACTATAAAAGAATATCATTCTCCTACAATTAATTTCTAATGTCATTATTGTACTTAAACTAGTCATTAGTACCCACTAATGATGATTATGCTTGAACATATGTATTTGTGTAAACCATTCACTATTCATGAGAACCCTTCTACTCCGTGGACGTAGCCAAATTTAGGGTGAACCACGTACATCTTGTGTTTGCTTCCTTATTTCTATCTATTTACATATTATCCTCACCAGGTGACCGGACCAACCGAGCGAATGTCACAAACTTGACACTTTATGTTGTTCCAAAGTCTTCACTGATTTTATGCATCAACATTTGGCACCGTCTGTGGGAAAGACACTTATTCCTACTATCTTCAGCTTCGTCAAGTTGGTTTCCATCGTTCGTACACTTTCCTTTGACCAGGCATCCCTCTCCAACATGAGGAATGAATGAAGCCACATCACACAGAACGACACTCCCTCCATGCCTAGTGTGAGGCAACAAGGGAAAGAACGAAAGAAGTTTGCTCTTCAAGCTAAAGTTGAAGAGCTGGAGGCTCAGAACAACAAGATAGCAATGAAGAATGAGATCTTCTAAGAGCAGTATGAGAAGCTCTTCGAGATGCTCAATGAGGCTCGGCATACTCAATCACATGAGCCTATTGCCTCTGTGGACGCCAACCATCACCTGGGTGCCCCCCAACACAGAGGGTCACCGGTCTTCAACATGAATATTCCTGATAAGGAACAAGTTACTCATCAATGTGTTGATCAACATGAAACTTCTCTCAACCCAGCTGTTTCGATCCGAAGCAAGAGAATTGGAGGGAAGCACATCCCTGCAGAGGGAATGGAAAGATCAAGAGTCGTTTACCATACAACGTCAAGAAAAATCTATCCACCTAGGTTCAAGGATCAAATACCCAAAAGTCATTGAAGGGCTCAATCTTCTACCACAATGTAGGCCTACCAACATGCATGCCCTAAAAGCCAGTATGGTGAATCTAAGGAAAAGCCACATTCCTTTGACCAAACTCCCTTACTTCCAAGGGATGAGGAAACTTACGAATGAGAGTTCTAATGGTGCCTAACTCCACTCAAGACCCTTTTGTTCTACAACTCCTTGAGGAAGCAAAACAAGTTGAAAGCCTAACGTCAAGCCAATATACCTGACTGGAATCAACCAAGGCCCGACCCTCTTACTGGGAGGGCAGATCCAATTGAGCATATCCACCTCTTTGAATCCACTATGGCATATCGAATACATAGTGATAAGGAACAATGTCTCATTTTTGCCTCCACTCTCTCTAGTGGAACTCTAAATTGGTATTGTTGTTTTCAACCTGATATAGTGGATTCCTTGGCTAAGCTAAGTAGACTCTTTGTGACTCAACACATCTTCCAAGCTGATCGCTTACACTTTGCTGATGAACTATACATTATTCGTCAGAAATCAAACGAGTCATTGCGTGAATATAACGGTCGCTTCAGCTATAAGTACTCTCGTTGTGCTGAGGCATATGACAAAACACAATTCAAGGCCTTCACGATAAGGATGCATGAATGTTTCTTCAAGTACATGATTGATGCTAACACTTGGAAAACTTACTCTGAGATGATGATGCAAGCTTACAATCATGCATTTGCCGGGGCAAAGACATACCAAAGGAACACTTTTATAGTTAACTCATATTAACAAGTGGGGAATGAAAGTTGTTGGTACCACACATATTGGGCCTCAGACTTTGATACATTGGGCCTCATTACCCAGCCCATATGATTATGTAAAAGGAGGAGCCCCTTATTCTATAAAAAGGGACTCCTCCCCCCTCACAAATAGAACTATGTGAACCCAACAGAGGGCAATTCCCTCACAAACACAACACTCTCTTTCTCTGGAGGGATTCCCCATCACCCTTGTAATACATACATACAGTTAGAGAGAAATACAATCAATATCAGTGTGGACGTAGCCCAAACATTGGGGTGAACCACGATAAATCTTATGTTATTTACTTTCTTGCAAATTCATGGTCGGATTTACGTTGTTCCAAGACCCCTCCGATTTTGTGCATCAACATTTGGCGCCATCTGTGGAAATCGACACGAAAAGTTATGTCGGTTCCCTTTCATTTTTTCACCTCCGTCGTGAATCTGCACAACCCAAAAATCATGGGATGTGCTTACTAGTCCAAACCAATGACACCCTTCAACTGTCTCAGCAAAATTGCTGCCGTCCCAAGATTTGCAGTACAAATCTATCCTTCCACAGATCAATCGCCAACACAATCTCCGTCAATCACGATGCTCCCACCGTCACAATCTCCACCGATCACGTTGCACAAGAATTGATGCATTGATTCACACAATCTGAGTTAGTAAAATGACCTCTATGAACAACGTCCATCATGCTGTTTACATTCCTTTTCCAGTTCAAAGCCACCGAGTCATCTCTCTCATGTCCCTCATCTCTCTCCTGTTCTTGGGCGTCCACACCGACAGAGATCTCTCTCTCTCTCGCTTTTCCAATCTTTGTCTTGCTCTTTCTCTCTCTCCCCTTGCTCGCTCGCGTGCTTGCTTCGGAACGTGGACTCCACAGAGATCAGGCAACTCGAACGAGTCAACTCACTCCCCGAAATCAAACTAACATCGACGAGTTGGAGCGTGAGCCTGACCATGGTACTCACCTTCGAGGACAACAAAAGTGTGACGAGCTTCGGCGAGGTCTCGCGGACGACGAACTAGCCGCTCTGGCGAGATTTCAGGATTACTGGTCCCGAGTCTGGTCGAGAGATGGAGGTGAGAGATCCAGCGAGCTTTATGTCTTGCACGTGTGACCACGCGGGCGGTTGTACGACGCCTGGTTCCAGATCCTCCGCCGAGATCTTACCTGTTCATTTCTTCGGCGTCTACGACAGCCATGGACGACTTTCCTCCGTACCATTTCAGATGTCCCATTTCTATGGAGTCCATGAAAGATCCCGTCACCATCTCCACTAGTGTCACCTACGAGCATAACAACATTGAGAAATGGTTCTTCTCCTACAAGAAGAAAACTTGTCCTGCCACAATGCAAAGCGTTAAGAATTTCGACATGATTCCAAACCACACCCACGAAGAAGATAAGTGGTTGTCAGAAACTTTATATTTCTTTATGTTATTTCTTAATTATTCTATAAATGATGCCAGCTTTACTTTTCTTTTGTCTGCTTCAATTATTCTATAAATGCTGCCCACTCCGTCTAAAAAGGTAAGTTTTATTATAATTATTTTATTATTTTAACACAATAAAAAAGGAACATTACAAAAGTCAGTAAATTTCACATGACATTTGCTAGAACCGAGTGAGAGAGAGAATGGATTTATAGTTGGCTTGCACAAGTTGTATTAGGGGACCCCTACCAGTAGCAGCCTTTCATGACTAAGGTGTTGCTTGCAAAGCTGCCTACCACATGATTAACAATTTAATACGTTCTTTTGTTTATTAATTGTGATCATTAATCAGACAAGTGGATCCAAGATCCTCCTTGTCATTTTGAATGGTTTCATTATTCGGAGATATACGAAGATACGTATTGTTTATTTAATATCTTATTATTTTATTTATATCATGATGATTAATTATAAAATAATAATTTTATTATTTTTATGTCATGATGACTTATGATTAAATTATATAATTATTATTTCTAATGTCACATGATTACTACCACGTTATTGATTTATACAACATGTGATTTATCAAACAACTGAATAAATCATTTATTCATGATTATATATATACACACACACATTTAGGCAATAC